CTTGAGAGGGGGTTATACACTCTTCTACTCTGGAGTTGCCCCTGGCGAGAGGTGCCGAGCAGGAGTGGACACACTTGTTGCCCCAAATCTTGGTGCCTGTGTGTTGGGGTTAACCCCGGTGGACGAGAGGGTAGCTTCCCTCTGCCTACGTGTGGGGGGATGGGTTCTGACTGTTGTTTGTGCTTATGTGCCAAACAGCAGCTCAGAGTACCCACCCTTTTTGAAGTCCGTCGAGGGGGTACTGGAGAGTGTGCCTCTTGGGGACTCCCTTGTTTCTACTGGGGGACTTCATTGCTCACGTGGGCAATGGCATTGAGACCTGGAGGGGTGTGGTTGGGAGGAACAGCCCCCTGATCTGAACCCGAGTGGTTTTCTGTTATTGGACTTCTGTGCTCGTCATGGATTGTCCATAATGAACACCATGTCCAAGCATAAGGGTGTCCATATGTGCTTTTGACACCAGGACACCCTAGGCTGCAGTTCGATGATTGACTTTGTTGTCGTCTCATATGATCTGTGGCCGCATTTCTTGGACACTCGGGTAAAGAGAGGGGCGGAGCTGTCCACTGACCACTACCTGGTGGCGAGTTGGCTCCGATGGTGGTGGAGGACACTCTAACGTATTGTGAGGGTCTGTTGGGAATGATCTGGCAGAGTCTCCCGTGAGACGGAGCTTTAACTCCCACCTCCGGGAGAGCTTCGAACACGTTCCCAGTGAGATGGGGGACATTGAGTCCGAGTGGGCCATGTTCCGCGCCTCTATTGTCGAGGTGGCTTATCGGAGCTGTGGCCGCAAGGTTGTCAGTGCCTGTCGTGGCGGTAATCCTCGAACCCGGTGATGGACACCATCGGTGAGGGATGTTGTCAGGCTGAAGAAGGATTCCTATTGGGCCTTTTTGGCCTGTTGGACCTCGGAAGCAGCTGTTGGTACTGGCAGTCCAAGCAGCATGCGGCTCGTGTGGTCGCTGAGGCAAAAACTCGGGCGTGGGAGGAGTTTGGAGAGACCATGGAGAATGACTTCCGTACGGCTTCGAGGCGATTCTGTTCCACCATCCGGCGTCTCGGGGTGGTGGAAGCGGTATGCCACCAACACCGTTTATAGTGGAGGTGGTGTGCTGCTGACCTCAACTCGGGATGTCGTGGGTCGGTGGGCGGAATACTTCGAAGACCTTCTCAATCCCACTGGCACTTCTTCCACTGTGGAAGCAGAGCCTTGGGATTTTGGGTCATGCTCTCCAATCTCTGGTGCTGAGGTCACCAAGGTCGTTAAAAAGCTCCTCGGTGGCAGGGCCCCAGGGGTGGATGAGATTCGCCTGGAGTTCCTTAAGGCTCTGGATGTTGTGGGGTTGTGTTGGCGTACACGACTCTGCAATATTGCGTGGACATCGTGGGCAGTTCCCTTGGATTGGCAGACTGGGGTGGTGGTCCCCCTATTCAAAAAGGGGGACCGTAGAGTGTAGGTGAGTAACAGTACATGTGGGTGTATTGAACCGTTTCGGTACGGCATGTTCGGTTCGGTCCACATGCGTACTGTAGTGAACTAAGCCTCAGGTCAAAACCTGACCCTGAGGACCTTCATGGGACAGGAACTGTTATTTCATTGATTTGAGTCCAGAAATACAAATTAAGCTCATCCAGAGACTTTCTAAGTGTGTCCTGCACTAATCAATTGAAAGAACACTCTCTTTTATATTATCATTACTATTTTACAATATCTTGATAATCAAAGTGTGTTTAGTTCAAACCATTTTAAATGTTGAAGTGAACTACTCATTTTAAATCAACTGTGAAACAGTATTAATGATTTTTTAATCCTCATTCAAAGTAGAAATCAAGTTAATGTCTGTTACAGAGTAATCATGCATTTTTTGATCTTCTGTCTGAAATGAGAAGGAGTGATGTCGGTCAAAAGTCAGAAAGAAGTTATTAGAACGAACTGTCATGTTTTTAAACCTATCAGACAGAAATAAGAAGAAGCTGGCACCTGTGGTCTGTCATCTCGCCTAAACATTTCTCTGTCTGTTCCAAAAACATCTCACTGTTTTTCTGACTTGTAGTAACCTCTTACGTCACTAAAACCACACCCCTGTTGGTTCTTTCAACCAATCAGGATTTCCCAAAAAGGGACCGGAAGCGAACTCTTTAAAAAGTCGACACTTCCTAGTTCCAGTGAGTTCAAAGTTCTGAGACATGAACCAAAGTTCTGGGAGCAGAACCGAACGAAAGTTCTGAAGTGGAACTCTGACGGGCTCACAGCTCATGTGAGTCCACCCGGGAGGTGAGCGTGCTGTTGAACGAAGTACCGTCACTACTCCGGACGTTTCTCTGCTATCCTACGGAGACGCTGAAATGGTAACGTTGAAAGAGAACTCTACACCGAAGCTGAGATATCTTCTGCAAGGTAAAGAGTCGATTTCCACTACCGAAGTGTATCGATGGGAGCTGGGTCGAAAGGAGGGTGCCGTTTGTTATCAACACACTTTTCCCTCATCCATTTTCTCTCCATTTAAACTCTTTCATTTTCCCATCTTTAAACTTCTATCTTGCCAGTAATTAATCCAGATATCTTCAGAAATATCTGTTTCAAAAGCTGCAAGTGAGATATCATGGCCGTATGATTTCTCATTGCAAAGCTCATTAATTAAGCTGTGTTAATCGTAATCAATCTGCCAATTAATGTAAATGTGTGATGTGTTTTAAATCGTTTAAAATAAACGACCCACTGTTGTTGGTGAGTCAGAAATTTAACCACGTCTCTGTCCACATTTACTCCACAAAGCACGATATGACTTAGTCCAGAAAAATGAAAGAATCCGTTTAAATGAAGGATAATATCAGACGCATATTATCTCTTTACAGTACCGTTTCAGTTATTTTTTCACTCATTAAATTTTATTAACGAGGGATTATGCGCCGTGGAACTAAAGTTCCCAAGTATCCTGATGCATGCTCAATAATCCAGGTAGAAAAATCTAAAAAAGTTAAATCTGGTCCACTGGACATTCAAAAAACTTTAAACTCTTTGAATAGTAAACAGCCATCAGTGTGCTAATGATCCATCGTTAGGCTGATGGTCCTTCTTGACCATGTGAGCAGCTGGTTTTGGTTGTCGGCAGCAAAACTGGTTGATCCACTCTGAGAAGGTGCTATTTATAAGACTGAGCTGAATACAGCACCTCAGACTGAGGAAGTCTTTCGGATGAAAGACTAAACGTTTATACATTTTTTTTTTGTTTTGCTTTGTTTTGTTTTTTGTATGTCCAGAGAACCAGATTTAACTTTTTTAGATAAAGTTCCTAAGCATGTTTCAGCACGCCATTAATCTTGCAG